GTTTAATACAAAGAAAAATAAAACTAAGCATTGTTAAAATGATCACATCATTATAAAATATTCAGTATTCAAATTATTCGATTTCGAATGTTGCTACATGTCCAATACCTACGGGTACTCAGATTGAATTTTATCTGCTGTATTTACTTATTTATTTATTTACTTTTTATCTTATGACAGTATAGTAGGTAAACCAAAAACCCAATTTAAGAAAAAAAAAGGCTTACAATTACTCAATATTATTGACGTTAAGTAGGTATTACGAATTTTCTAACCGACACTAATTTTCATTACCTAAATTCCCTGGTTTTTGTGCATTTATATACACTTCACTAACCAACTGTATTTATGTATTTATTCACAACTAAATAAACTTTATCAGTTGTACATATGTATCCTAATGTAATGACACGACGTGGGAATTTATTTCCGGCTAAATGGGAAAAGCGTACTGTATAATATTGGACTTCAGTCTGTTCGAGATACTTACTACTTGTGCGTACCTCAGAGCGAAGTACGATAGTGGAGTTAAATTTAGAATTATATGTTATTTTAAAAAACGCATACGCCTTACGTCTACCGCAAACGGACCAAATATTTGTCCACGTAACAGAACGTCTCCTCTGTTTTTCGCGATTGCACAAAAAACCACACCATCGGATACACTAACAGGATAAACTAGCATAATTAGTATTGTAGTGACGAACGCGCATGAGTTACATTACGTTTATTCACACTGTCAAAATTTGTATTAGCATAGTACCTATAAAATGGAGCAGTGGTAAATTGCACCTGGTTAATACTTGTTATGTCCAGAGTTGTTTAGGACATTACCTATAGTTTGAATCAAAATTTATGAAATACTAGGGATGTATATTGGGATCCGTCAAATGGGCATACACCATCTTGTGGCAAAATTTATAACTCGAATGAAGGAAAAATTTACACAGGAACTTTGCACGCAAATTGTAAAATTGTTTATTAAAATAATAAAACACGTTAAAAAATGATGGAGTCGACGAAGTTTTTTTCTAAAGTTAAATCAAATAAAAAGTTAATATGTTCAGTGAAAAGCTGCAATAGCACTTCAGACATAGATCTTCACTCTTCACCTACATTAACTACTTTCCAATAAAAACTAACCGTTATATATATGTAAAAAATATATTCGGAAAATTAGAGAAAAAAGTAAACTAATAGAAGCTTGGATGAAAGCAGTAGGTATCAAAGAAGTGAATTCCGGAATAAAAATTTGTTCACGTCATTTTAATGCACATGATTATATTTCAGCAAGTATTTACCATCAGCCATAACCTTAATATTTAAAACTAGAATCATACTAAAATTATAAAGTGAGAAATTATTTATTCCTGTGTAATTGATTTAACACAATTCTAATGATACGATATAAGTATTTTGAGGTTAAGAACCTACCTGCTGCAATACAACAAAGTTGCAATAATGTGTTTGCAACGTTCTCTTAAATCGGCTTTGCACGTGCAAGTCATTGATATGATATTGCTTAAATCACCCAGAATCACCTCACCAATTATATAACGTGAATCACTTTTTAAATCCGAAGTTTGTAAAAAGTAGGCAGTAAACTTGACGGAATTTGAAGGCTAGCTTCCGGATTTGTTATTTCCGAATTTTATAATGTGATTGGCATTAAAAACACGCTCACCTTCAACGAAATTTCCTTTCCGAGGCTTTGTGTCAGCCCAATCACATATTGTGTTAATACTTATCATTTTATCGTAATTTAAAAACTTGGAAATTGCACGGTACACTATAGGAACTACGATAAATTTTCCCTAACCGGCGCCATGTTTTTAGGCTCCTCCCAATAACATTTATAAATTCCGTTGCTGAATTCAAAATATGCTATAGAATATATCGAATAGACTACAAAAAGGTATCTCGGCCATTTACCAGAAAAAATCCATTTTTAAGTCACCATCACCTTGATGTTATTTTTTATCACAATTTTAGAGAATTGAGAAAATCCCAATGTTCTTCTAAAAATAAATGGCGAAATATTCAGACAAATGTGGATTCTTTCCATTCATTGTCTAATTTTGTCAAAATCGCCACGATATAGCTCTGAACTTCGACCACAAAATGGATGAATGATGCGGATGAACAGAAGCTTCATGATACAAATAAGGCTAAATAATAAATATACAAATTATACATTTCTCTATCGTTATTTTTTCATTTTATGTCATCATCTTCATCATAAGGTCGTCAGTCCTAAGCCTGGTCAGACACGTACCTTCACTCTTTCCTATCCCAAGCAAATCTTCGCATTTCCTTAGAACTAGGACGACCCATATAATTACTTATTTGTGAACAGTAATCTAATCAAGGTCTCCTCTTAGCTCTCGTTTCTACTTCTAATACGTCTCCAACTAGCCCTCCATGCCTAAGAAAGTGTCCTACCAACCTATTTCGCCTATTTCTTATTGACTTCCATGGTGCCCACTGCTCTTTCTGATACCTTCTCGTTTCTAATCCTCTCGATCTACTCGACTATACTCCTCATTTGCCGGTAACACCACATCTCGAACCTATTGCTCTTTAAAAAAACTATATATATCACTCTTCTACATCTCTATATCTCGTCCCAACATTTTTGAGTACATTTAGCATCTTGCCCCATTGAACATTGTCAAAAGCTTTTTCTTTTTTCATTTCTATGTACGCCATCTTTTCTTTCTTTATCGTTCCTCCCGCGTTCGTCTATTCTTCGTCTTCATCTTCTAAATCCAAATTGGCCTTCCTCTAATAGTTCTTCCACCCTTCTGTGTATAATTCTGGTTAAGGTTTCTGACGCATAAGAAGTTAGGTAATTGTTCTAAATTTCTCACATGTATCCGTTCCTCTCTTTTTAGGGATGTCTCTTGGGACTTTCCCGCCTCATATATATGCCTAACTAGCGTAAGCATACGATCTCTAATATTTTGTCCGGCATCTCTTAAAATTTCCACCGGTATCCTATCTATGGTGTCTTATTGTTTCTTTAAGTTCTTTAATGTTAAATCAAACCCTTCTATCATCGTGGGGTATCCTACCTCCACAATATCTCCCTTCTCTAATGTCGTATGAGAGAAAATGCATAATTTGATGAGCGCATGGAATATGCTCGCGAACCGTTAATTTAGAAATTCGAAAAAGGTTGTTAAAGGTGTATGTTTGGAGCACGGCGTTGTACGGGTGCGAAACATGGACAGTAGGAGCGGCGGAAAAGAAAAGGTTAGAAGCGTTCGAAATGTGGTGTTATAGGCGGATGATGAGGATATCGTGGGTAAAAAAGGTTAGAAATGAAGAGGTATTGGAAAGAATAGGAGAACAGAGGACTCTATGGAAGTCAATAAAAAATAGGCGAGATAGGTTGGTAGGACACCTTCTCAGGCATGAAGGTCTAGTCAGAGACATATTAGAGGCAGAAACAGGAGTTAGGAGGGGTAGAGGTAGACCTAGATTAGATTACTCTTCGCAAATAGTTAAAGATGTGGGCTGTTCTAGTTTTAGGGAAATGCGAAGTTTAGCTCAGGATAGGAAAGAGTGGAGGTACGTGTCCAACCAGTCTTAGGACTGACGACCTTATGATGATGATGATGATGGAATATGTGGAATCAACCTTGTCTATTTCAAAATAACCTATTTCTCTAAAAAGTGTTCTAAATTAACTTTCAAAATCTTTTGGTCAAAACCTAATAGCTCTTGAAAGCTTTAAATTGCACTTAATTGGATTTATTAATTTAATTATATTAATTTATTATTTATATGAAAAGATGGCTGAAGGAATTTGTAGAAATTTCCCTATATCACGTCGTATTTTTTCACCTTTTGATGATTGCATGTAACAATAGATTATTCCTATGTTCAGTTCTGATAGAGTACAATATCAATTTTAATTAACATATACTGTATTCATGAAAGAATTGATTTGATGTTATTTCTTACATTAAAAATGATGGATTATCTCCAGCACTGTCACTCCCTGATTTGCCTCGCTTATCAAAACGTTTAGGGTATTTTATTTTGTCATTATTACTAGTATTATTATTGACTGATGTTAAAAAAAATATTATTATTACACTTTGATTTTCCCTTAAAATTAAAAAGACTTCTACACAGAATGTTTCAATTTTTCATAGGATTCCCGATACCGATCATGTGTACCTTCTTCATCCCAGCAGGCCGATAATTACCTAGCAGTACATAATGGAATTTTCATGTCGATATCTGCTGATATTTTATGTATAGAAGCCTTGGCTGACTAAAACTATTTATTGATTTATATATACGGCATGTACGTATTATTAGAAGTGGAAAAGTCCTTCTAACTAATAGGGATTCGAATAGGATTTCATGGTCGATTTATCTATTTTATTTTCCTATTATGTTTCTGGGTCAAGCCGTCTAATAAGAACTCAAACCAGGTAAGTCGTTTTCTAAAAGACCGCAAAGGTTATTGTTAAGTTAGAATTTCCTTCACTCACCAAATTCAACCGTTACTGTTTTCCTTGTCAAAAATGTATCAATCCGTTGATACTTGTGGAATCCTAGCTATCTATACAAAAGACTAAGAAAAACTAAAAAAATCTCATCCAAAATTAAAACGAATAATCTCGATTTAGTTATTTCACGTATCTAGATATAAAACTGACAACAAAAGTTTTTATATTCAAAGGCGAAACGTTCGTATTGGTTCAGAAAGTATTTTTTTGCCCACAAATCCTTACCTTTCTTACATCAAATTTACAAGCATGTAAGTATTAGGTAAGTAATCATCCTTAGCGTCAGTGGAAACCTTAATAAGAGCTTAAAATGTACAGGTCACATAGATATAAGTTGACTAGGTAATAATAAATTCGTTGATGAAGTAAAATCTTAAGGTTTCTTTATTTGTCAACAAGATTATTATTCATGTTTTACAGTAAATGCAACATTCGAAAAATGATAGTCATTGTTAAAAAGATAATTTTACTTACCAAATTGGCTTACATTTCCTTGGACAAACTGAGAAATCGTAGAAATAAAGTCCACCATAGAATCAAAACCGAGCATGTTTAATTTTTTAAATACAATATTCAACCACTGTACGCACTAGAATTTTAGCAGTAGACTGTTAACTTCTATTAGCTGAGTTCATGCCGATAAATAAAGGCACTCGTTCGAAATTTTGCTATCAGCCGGGAAATGATAAAGAAATGTTGTATTAAATCATCACTTTCCACATGCAGTCCACGTTTAGCGTCATGTCCAAACGCGGCATGGAAATCGAAAGCTTATTACTGCAGTGTTGGACTTCCTCCAGCTAGGACATGACGTGTCAGAGCAACTTTAAGGGATTCTCGACTGTATCACTTCGAATTCGAATCAAAATCAAAAAAGTCAGGAACGAAATGCCGCGTACAGTGACATTGAAAATTCTTTTAACATTTCACGGTATCATGTACAAATAAACATTGAGCTACACAAATTTGACGCTAGTGAAAAACCGACAATTTTGACATGTTGAACGAACCGACCTGTGATAATGCGTTATGTGAACTCGAGACAGGGACGCAGACGGAGAGCTGCTATTGGTTGGGCCTATGACGTCACGTTAGTAACCCTAGTTTTGTCGATAATTTCAAGCAGCTTGCTTTCAAGTTGGCGGACTACATGAGCTAGAAACACGCCACTGCCAGGTATTTTTGTTATTGAAAAATTATAATATATGCCATGATAAGCATTTAATACGTTTACACACTATCGTACAGACGCCAGAGCAAACAGAATAAAATTGGAATTATTAGCGTTTTTTATTTCCCTGCATGTTTGTCCCGAAACTTGTTATTGAAGTGAATTGTTAACCTTGATTTGATCAGCAACTTCCACGATTATAGGAAAGTTTCGTAGCAAAACCCACGCAATCCACAATTCGGTTGAGGAAGGTCATAACAAAGAAAGTCCTATTTCATAAGTATTGATTCTGGTAATTCTAAACAATAAAAACACCACTGCGGTTTTTGGCATCTCCACTAAATTTTCAAACGAATGTTAGTTGAGTGTTCATATTCAAAGGCATTTCTTATTACTTCACAGTCAATAATATCAAGAATGACAGTTTGATTTAATCTTGGATAAACTCCATAATAACATACAGATGTGCATCATGAATTTTTGTGGATTTAGAATGCACTTCATCGTTCTTCAGGCATGATTATTAGACCAAAGGTTCTTAATCTACTCTTCATCGCACGTATTCATCATGAGCAAGAAATAGCTCATTTTACTTCCAGGGTTTTCGCTCATACGTATCATATCATGATACCACAGTACATCCACGTGTAGAGCTTTGTGAGTTCCGATGTTTCATATTGGTCATACTTCATGCTTTTACCTCATAAGAAGATTCTCGAACCACTTGTTATCGACTGTGTTTAGATTAACTTTTAAGTGGTTGTTTCTGTTTAATTTTTTTTATTCGTTAGAGATAGATTTGCTTATCATTATTCAATTTCTTTTATTTTATTGTATTGGAAACTAACTATGAAAAATTGATAGTGCTTTTTGTGTTGTGGTGAAAACATATCAAAAACCAACCTAGAATAAACCCATGAAAAATGATTTTATAGTCACTTAAGCATTAGTATCATGATATACTAATGAGAATTTCCATTTAATGTGATTTATTCTATTATTTTCATTGGAAGCTTTACATGTGCCTTGTTTTAATTAAATTGATATGTTAATCTGTGTAAGCATGTATTAATTTTGTCTTTATATGTAGTTCATAGATCTAATTAATAGAATTAAAAATGCTGTACACGAAATCTGTTGATATTTTGTTGGATTCTTCGAATTCAGATGTACTATTTAGTTCTCCAATAAAAACTTGATGAACAAACTAAATTTTAGAGTTCTAACTAATCATTAGAGGTATTAAGAAAGAATACTTAAGTTTTAAAGTTCCAAAATTAATAAACATTAAATGGGACATTACATTGGAATAGAACTCCCATTTTTATTGATTCTTACAATACTTTTTTTTACTTATATGAGTAGACCAATCGAACAGGTATTTGATATTAAGAGAAAAAAAAAACTTTTGGGTGTTTCATTCCCACCAGCCAGTAATGGAATGTAGGGCGGAAGGCCATTTTCAGCCTGCTTTCAGGAATCGTGGGAATGGGTGGGCGGTGGTTCGGGTGAGAAAGTTGAGACGGACGAAATGAAGACAGAAGAGAATGAAAGATTATCTGTGGAATATTACTCCTCAGCATTTGCTTAAGTGATCCAAGGAAACATAGAAAAACATGGACCAAGGCAGACGGATCCGGAATCGAACCGGCGTTGTCCGGAATGCTAAGCAATGGTCTAAACCTCTAGACCATGCCGCTCGGTTTGTTAAGAGAACAGTTACATACATCTGTGTATCTATGAGTACATATAGTATTCTTCAATACTTCATGCTAAAATAGCAAAAAGATCGTGAACAAAAAGATAGTGACTTATTTCGATTGACCTACATGAAGTCCCTTTTTTGTCTTCAAACTACAACGGTTCTTTTTTACAATTTGACCTCAAAGCCCTAAAGTAATATCTAACATAGTGCAGGAAGGCGGAAGCGATGAACAATGGCCTATAAACAATCGTCTTCTTTTAGAATTCGACAACAACTTTAACTTTTAATTTATAACTTAAACTGCCTGCTTAACTTTGATCGATTAAGAGCAAAGCTGAAAGGTAAGGCGGAAGGCCCTCTTCAGTCTCCTTTCAGAATTCGTGGGAACAAGCGGGTGACGCTTCGGAGAAGGAAGATGACACAGAAAAAAGGAAAATTGAAAATAAATGAAAGAAAATGTGTGGAATATTATTGCTGTAAACGTCATGAATTAATTCGAACAAGAGTACAAAAAAAGAACACTTTGTACACTAACATTTCCGTTCTGAAAAATCATTCAATGTGGAATTGCCTATTACTATTAATAAATCTGTAATATACACCTCGAATTAAACCGAGTGTGGGCTCTGAACTCGTTTAAAATCAAAGGAAAAATACACTTCAGTTAATTATGACAGTTCCTTGCGTAAATCAAATATCAATAGCATCTACTTCTTTATTACGAAAAGCCGACATACGTGCAAGAACATTGTAAGTCTCAAGCCAAGAACCGAAAACTACTAGATAACGGGCATCATATCTCAAGAGCTTTGAGTCAACGATGCGTCCTGAGAGTCCTGATTCCCGACGACGCTAGTCCAGTTGAAGATGAAGTTTTACGCAGCACAGGAGCATGAGCATCACGCACCCCATAGAACGTGGCACAGTGTCCTTTATTATATTGTTGTTATAGTGCTGTTTTGGTGTGTTTTCGAACTCAGAAAGACGTACTTTCGGGAGAATTCTGTTTCCAGTCGAGTTAAAGTTGAGGATAGTGATGACGATGTCACAATCGGTGAAGTAAACATATCGTCCTGGACCAATAATTTCCAGACGAAGAGTAAATCCAATGCCAGGCAAAGGATCCATGTTCCCAAGTTCATGCTAGATTTGTATGAACAGTACAAAAACGATTATGGAAGAAACTGTACAAGACCTGATGTTGTACGAAGTGTAGTACCAAAACAAGGAGGTACAAATTTTCAGTAATGCTTATGTAAAATAAATAAAAGTAAAACTAAAATACTGGTATGCAGGGGAAGGGAAAGTAGGGAAAGAGCGAATATAAAGATAGGAGACGAAAAATTAGAAGAACTGATTGATTGTAGATACCTATGAAGTCAGATAAGTCAGGATGGAAGGAGTAGTAGGGATATAAAACAGAGTATAGCGCAGGGTCTAAAAAAAAAATAAGTCACTTTTATGCTCGCGAACGGTTAATTCAGAAATTCGAAAAAGGTTGTTAAATGTGTGTTTGGAGCACGGCGTTGTATGGGTGCGAAACATGGACAGTGGGCGCGGCGGTAAAGAAAAGGTTAGAAGCGTTTGAAATGTGGTGTTATAGGCGGATGATGAGCATAACGTGGGTAGAAAAGGTTAGAAATGAAGAGGTATTAGAAAGAATAGGAGAACAGAGGATCCTATGGAAGTCAATAAAAAATAGGCGAGATAGGGTGGTAGGACACCTTCTCAGGCATGAAGGTCTAGTCAGAGACATATTAGAAGCAGAAACAGGAGTTAGGAGGGGTAGAGATAGACCTAGATTAGATTACTGTTCGCAAATAGTTAAGGATGTGGGCTGTTCTAGTTTTAGGGAAATGAGAAGTTTCGCTCAGGGTAGGAAAGAGTGGAGGTACGTGTCCAACCGGTCTTAGGACTGACGACCTTATGATGATGATGATTTTAATCGAAAATTAATGATAACATATGCAGAATATGGAATCCTTACGATTACTATTAATTGCAGTGAAGTTTTTGTGATTCATTTTTTGGTAATTTTCGTAGTGACTGGGACTATAATTTGGTCAACCATTTTTGAAAAATAGTTTAAAATGATAAAATGTTAACTTCTTTACAATGTCAACTCCACTAGGCGGATTATTGCAGGTTACGGTAACAAGGAGCCACAACACGAATTTATTTGACATAAAAATTAAATTATGAAATAATTTCAATAACATCCTCTTTTTCTCCAAGCTGGTTTTAAATTACTTAGGCCTAGGGAATTTCCCCCAGGTCTGACAACGCGGGTCAAAAATCGAATGTGTTAGTGGGTATCTCTCTCCCTCATGCTTGCTACTTGCAAAAATTCGATTGGTCTGCCATTTGATGAATATACACAATGGAATTCATTATAAAAAACTTCAAAAGCTAAGCTCTTAGTAACAACAAACAGTACTAAAATTGCTCTTTTGAAATATTGTGGGCATATAGCACTTTCGGGTGTCCCACATGAGGCCACACAACTTTTTATTATTAAAAAAGTATTAATCGACATCTTTTAACCAATATAAAATAAGTATATATACAATATATAAAATATTGTGGAATATGTCTTTCGTAAATACTTGGAATATATTTTCTCATCACTTTTCCGAGAAGTTAGACGTATTTTGAGATATGAACGTGTCAAATGTGTAAATTTTGGTGGGTACTTCTTTGAAATAAATGCACTGATACGATAAATTTAGTTCAATATAACTGTACAAATTCAAAATTTGAAAATAAATAAACATGATGAGTGAAAAGAAAAAAAATATTGGCTTTATTAAGTAAAAATATATTTTTTTAAACTAACATTTACTTAATATTTATTTATATGAAAAAATGACTAATGGTTGGTATGTGTACGAATTTTCCTATACCACGCCGT